CTAAACCATCAATGGACATTGATACATCCCCTGTTCCTTCTCTTTCTTCTCATCCATCTGCGCAACTCCTTCGCAGCACTCTGTTCCTCCACTACTTGACCGTTTTCTGCTGCCACCACATGTGGACTTTTTTAACCCCTCTAGTCCATAGGTACCCTTACCTGCAAATTTCTGGTATCTTTATCGTTGCCAATCATGGCCTATTTACAGTAGAACATCTGCGGCCTTAGGGGTAATCGAGGTGAGCTTCAGATGTTGCTCTCCCGGTTTTCCCTGTTGGTGTTTGCTTACAAGAACCAAAATTACACTCCGCTGTTATCTATCCCATCTCAGGCTATAATTTATTGTATTCTTTGGATCCTTCTTCTGATGGAACTTTTAATGAAAGTGCCCTTCTTCTACACACTGATATTCCATACCATCAGCTGTTTGTTCATACTTTGCTGCATTACACTGCAGCCCGTATCCACTTGCATAAGTCGTATACAATCTGTTCTTTGTATCTCTCTCCTCTGGCAATATCTATCCCGGATGTTGCCTTTCTTGTTTCGTCCTTACCGCCTCCACTTCTGTTACTTGGCAATTTTAATGCCCATCTCCTCTGGGGGGGTCTCAATGTGATTCCTGTGGCATTCAGTTGGAGGCTTTTCTCACCTCTCACCCCCCCCCATGTTTTAAATACAGGTACTCCCACCCATTTTGATCCTCGTACTCATACTCTCTCTTGCATCACTCTCTCAGTCTGCTCTTCCTCCACTGCATTAGACTTCACCTGGTCTGTTCTCCCGGACTTACATGACAGCGATCATTTTCCAATCATTATTACTTCTCCTTCAGAGTCACCATCTCTTAATAGCCGACACTGGCAATTTGATCAAGCAAATTAGGACCTCGCCTCGCACTTTACTGTTTTAGTGAGGCTCCTTCTTTGTCCTCCACTGATGAGCTTTTACATCTCTTCTCGACCTCAGTTTTAATCGCAGCTTCTCATTCTATACTCCGAACCTTGGGCAGGCATTCTCAGAAGTGTGTACCTTGGTGGTCTCCTGCTTGTGCTCGGGCAGTACGTTTGAAATGTGCTGTGTGGGGCAGGTACCGGTACAATAGAACCACAGAGAGATTTCTTGATTTTAAGCAGAAGCGTGCAGTCGCTCGCCGTGTCATCCGTGACGCTAAACCCACTTGCTGGCAAGATTATGTTTCCACCATCGCCTCTGCTTCCTCTATGAGTGAAGTCCGGAAAAAAGTATGGAAACTGAGTGGTAAATACTCTCCTGACCTGGCTCCTGTTCTGCGGGTTGCCAGTGTTGATATTGCAAACCCTCTCAACGTTGCCATTGAAACTGGTAATCATCTGGTCTGTATTTCTCCGGGGCTCCATCTATGCCCCTTATTTCTTTCTTCAAAGTCTGCCAGAGAGTTAGTGCCCTTAGACTTTTCTTCTCTCAAAGAAGAATCTTATAATGTGCCTTTTACACTTCAGGAACTGGAGGCAACACTCTCAGCTTGCCAATCATCGGCAGCTGGGCCTGATGACATTCCCATTCGGTTGTTGCAACATTTACATCAGTCAGCCCTTGCAGTCCTCTTACAACTCTTCACTCTTATTTGGTCACAAAGAGTTCTTCCCCAGTTGTGGAAATCTGCCATTGTTCTCCCTTTCCGCAAACCGGGTACTACGGGACATGATGCCTCCCACTATCGTCTCATTGCTCTTACCAGTACAGTTTGCAAAGTGATGGAACGTCTGGTAAATCAACGTTTAATGTTGTATTTAGAGACACACAACAGTCTCTCCACTGGTCAATATGGCTTCCGTAAGGGCCGTTCTACCAGAGACCCCTTACTACGCTTGGATACATATGTACGTAATGCCTTTGCAAATAACCACTCAGTTATTGTCATATTTTTTGACCTAGAGAAGGCATATGACACAACTTGGAGGTATAATATTTTGGCCCAAGCCCACTCCTTAGGCCTCCGAGGCAATCTACCATCCTTCCTTAATAACTTCTTAACTGACAGACATTTCCATGTTCAGGTTAATAATATGCTCTCCCCGGACTTTGTCCAAGCTGAAGGTGTCCCCAAGGGATGTGTGCTGAGCACAACAATTTTTCTTCTTGCTATAAATGATTTGGTCTCTCTTCTTCCATCCAATATTTGGTCATCACTATGCTGATGACTTCACTATTGCTTGTGCAGCCGCTGACTGTCACCTCATTACAGTTTCTCTCCAGCATGTGGTCAACCGTGTTTCCAACTGGGCCACCATGCATGGGTTTAAATTTTCCAGTACTAAAACTCAACAAATTACTTTCACTAGACACTCTATCATCTCCGATCATCCTTTGTACCTCTATGACTCGTGTATCCCTGAACGTGATATGGTCAGGTTTCTAGGCCTTCTCTCTGACCGTAGGTTATCCTGAAAACCTCACATTACCTATCTGAAGGCAACTTGTCACAGTCGGCTGAACCTTCTTAGAATCCTTGCTCATCTTTCATGGGGAGCTGATCGTCGAACTCTCCTTCTCCTACATTCAGCCCTCATTTTCTCGAAACTCAATTATGGTGACCAGATCAATTCAGCGGCCTCTCCTGCTACTCTCTCTAGCCTTAATCCCATCCATCACCAGGGATTACATTTATGCTTTGATGCTTTTCACTCTTTCCCTGTTGAGAGCCTCTATGCAGAAGCGAATATTCCATCCTTGTCCGATCACCGTGATGCCCATTGCCTTCGCTACTATGTTCGCTCTCATGATCTCCGCAATCCTTCCATATATAGAATGGTCACCGATGTTAGTAGACATTCTTTATTTGTTCACCGCCCCTGTTTGCTCCATCCCTTTTCCTCTTCACCTACATTCGCTCTTGTCTTCCCTTCATTTACCACCTTTCTATGTTCATGTAGCATCTAATTTTTTTCCTACCCCCCTGGGAAGTTCCAGCTGTTCGTCTGTTCTTTCTCACTCCCTTGCGCGAAAGCCCAACTGCCTACGGTAGCTTCCCGCTCTCTTTCTTGACCACTTCCACTCTCATTCTCATGCCACTGCAGTGTACACAGATGGCTCTAAGTCTTCTGACAGCATCGGATTTGCAGCAGTGTTTCCGGACAGTATCGTGTGAGGGCATTTACTATCCTCAGTAGCATTTTTACTGCTGAATTATATGCCATTCTTGCATCACTTATCCATATTGCATCTATGCCTGTGTCATCATTTGTGGTTGTTTCAGACTCCTTTAGTGCTTTACAGGCTATACGAAAATTTGATACACCTCACCCCCTAGTTCTCTGTATCCAACTTTGGTTATGCCGTATCTCTACCAAGCATAAAGATATTGTTTTTTGTTGGGTCCCTGGTCATGTTGACGTACAGGACAATGAACAGGCAGACACTGCTGCGCGGTCAGCAGTACATGACCTACCAGTTTCATAGAGAGGTGTTCCATTCACAGACTATTTTGCTGCAACAGCTACCCACCTTCACGCCTTTTGGCAACAACGTTGGTCTGATCTGCTCAATAATAAACTTCATTCTATTAAACCTAGTATAGGTTACTAGCTGTCTTCTTTTCATCTGTGTCAAGGTTGGGAGACTACTTTCTCCCGTCTTCGCATTGGCCACACTCATCTTACTCATGGGAATCTCATGGATAGGCGCCCTGTTCCTCTTTGTGAGAACTGTCTGGTTCCAGTATCAGTTAGACACATTCTGTTAGACTGCACACTCTATCAACAAGCCCGCAGAACTTACTCCAATGTCGTCTCCTCTCTTCTGCTCTCTCTTTACCTTCCCTACTTGCTGATGGACCCTCATTTAATCCGGACTCTCTCATTGACTTTTTGACAACTGATTTACTCCACAAACTCTGATGATGATACCTTTAGCACTCCCCTCAGTCCTTTCTACCTCTATCTCTTGCTACCCTCTACCCCAGCACTAACCACTGCCCCGCTGTTCTCCATACCCTACTAATCATCCCTCTCCCTTTAGCCACCTGATACCCTCGCTTCCTTCCCTGCCCTGCAGTGCTATATAGCCCTTGTGGTTTAGTGCTTCTTTTTTATTATAATAATAATGTGCCTGGGGATCCACAACAGCAACTCAAGCCAATAATAACCCAACATAAAGCTGCAGAACAAATGATTACACAGCCCACTGTTAGACAACCCCCCACCCCACCCCAACTCTTCAAAGACCTAAACCTATGCACTGTACAAAACATTCACTCTTACTACTGTGCATCCTACATTCATAGAACAATAAATTTTAATATTAATCCCAACCTGAAGCACTTTCTTGATAGTTGCAACAGGGCCCATAGACATAATACTAGGCACAAAAATCTCTATGACATTCCCTGTGTCTGGCTAAATCTCTTCAAAAATTCAATGTACATGAAAGGGCCCAAAATCTGGAACTCACTGGCAGAAATCTCCAGAACCATTGTCTCAGCCAGCATTTTCAAAACTGCTGTTAAAAACCACCTTATCTCCCTAACATATCCCAGCATCAGCTAAATATGTGAAAACTACATTTCCATATTTTCAATGTCACGAAAACATGTAATGTAACATGTAAAACAATATAATCTTACTCTCAATATCTGTAATTCTTCCAAACATTAAAAAATTGTCCCCTTTATGTTAATAATCAAACCTGTAATTACTTATCAATTAAACTTGATAAAATCCATATAGCATGAACTAATAGGATATTCAATTCTCTTGTATTCACTGTAACTCCAAAATTTATACTTACACTCACCCAGGTGACTGCATGTATCAAATTACTCGATAAATTAGACACAAGTGCAACTCTTGGGTATCTTTATTGAGGAAACGTTTCGCCACACAGTGGCTTCATCAGTCCATACATAGGAGAAACTTGAAGAACAGGAGGAGAATGAGGTAATCAGTCCCTCAACCTTGAGTCGATGTGTTCAGTCCATCAATCTTGAGTAGAATACATTGATGGGCTGAACACATCGACTCAAGGTTGAGGGACTGATTACCTCATTCTCCTCCTGTTCTTCAAGTTTCTCCTATGTATGGACTGATGAAGCCACTGTGTGGCGAAACGTTTCCTCAATAAAGATACCCAAGAGTTGCACTTGTGTCTAATTTATCAACATGTCGGTTCTCTGAACCATTCATCTACAAATCAAATTACTCGTATAGTTACTGCCTTATTAATCATAAATTAGTCTTTAGTTTGCCTGAAATGCTCTGCATATTTAGGGGCTTTCTTCATGTACAGCCTCTTTAACCTTTTGACTGTCGCAACCCCAAATCTTGAAGTGTCTCCTAGTGTTGAAGAATATAAAAAAAAAAAAAAAAAATTTTCTTATGAAAATATTAAGATTAATTTTCTAATTGTTTTAAGCCCCAAAACAAATTTTTGTGATCAGTAGATCAGTACTTACCGAGATATAGAGGAGTAAAGTTGGCAGAAAATGAACCACGTATAGTAATAGCAGCGAATGCCTCTCACCCAGTAAACTTTGGTTTACTTGCATTCCAAGGTTTCTTGTTTTTTCACTATTTTATTTTTTCCACATAACTTATGTGGCCTGCGAGTCCAATGTAAGGTGCAATGTACATATATACACTAGTTGTATACAACACAATAAGCGCACAAACATAATTCAATATATTATTTACAAAACTTGTTTACACAAACAATACAAAAATTTTTTTATTACTATTGTTCTATAATATATATACAAATGTAGTCACTGGACATGTTCCTAGAAGCTCTGCAGCTTGTGGAACTCTCTGAAATATGGTTTCATATACAATTGTATTTTACACTCCACACACATAAAACGAGTGTCTCTGCATTTTTGTGGGCGTTTTTTTTTTGTGTGCACAGACAAAACACCTCTTCTGAGCAGTTTTCTTCATAGTAGTAGCAGACAGTTGTGTTAGGTAGTTTTTTTTTTTTTAACAAGTCGGCCATCTCCCACTGAGGCAGGGTGACCCAAAAAAGAAAGAAAATCCCCAAAAAGAAAATACTTTCATCATCATTCAACACTTTCACCTCACTCACACATAATCACTGTTTTTGCAGAGGTGCTCAGAACACAACAGTTTAGAAGCATATATGTATAAAGATACACAACATATCCCTCCAAATTGCTAATATCCTCAAACCCCTCCTTTAGAGTGCAGGCATTGTACTTCCCATTTCCAGGACTCAAGTCTGGCTATATAAAAATAACCAGTTTCCCTAAATCCCTTCACTAAATATTACCCTGCTCACACTCCAACAGATCGTCAGGTCCCAAATACCATTCGTCTCCATTCACTCCTATCGAACACGCTCATGCATGCCTGCTGGAAGTCCAAGCCCCTCGCCCACAAAACCTCCCTTACCCCTTCCTTCCAACCTTTTCGAGGACGACCCCTACCCCGCCTTCCTTCTCCTACAGATTTAAATGCTCTCCATGTCATTCTACTTTGATCCATTCTCTCTAAATGACCAAACCACCTCAACAACCCCTCTGCAGCCCTCTGACTAATACTTTTATTAACTCCACACCTTCTCCTAATTTCCACACACCGAATTTTCTGCATAATATTTACACCACACATTGCCCTTAGACAGGACATCTCCACTGCCTCCAACCGCCTCCTCACTGCTGCATTCACAACCCAAGCTTCACACCCATATAAGAGTGTTGGTACTACTATACTTTCATACATTCCCTTCTTTGCCTCCATAGATAACGTTTTTTGACTCCACATATACCTCAACACACCACTCACCTTTTTTCCCTCATCAATTCTATGATTAACCTCATCCTTCAGAAATCCATCCGCCGACACGTCAACTCCCAAGTATCTGAAAACATTCACTTCTTCCATACTCCTCCTCTTCAATTTGATATCCAATTTTTCTTTATCTAAATCATTTGATACCCTCATCACCTTACTCTTTTCTATGTTCACTTACAACTTTCTACCTTTACACACACTCCCAAACTCATCCACTAACCTTTGCAATTTTTCTTTAGAATCTCCCATAAGCACAGTATCATCAGCAAAAAGTAACTGTCAATTTCCATTTTGTATTTGATTCCCCATAATTTAATCCCACCCCACTCCCAAACACCCTAGCATTTACTTCTTTTACAACCCCATGTATAAATATATTAAACAACCATGGCGACATTACACATCCCTGTCTAAGACCTACTTTTACTGGGAAGTAGTCTCCCTCTCTTCTACACACCCTAACCTGAGCCTTACTATCCTCATAAAAACTCTTTACAGCCTTTAGTAACTTACCACCTATTCCATATACTTGCAACATCTGCCACATTGCTCCCCTATCCACTATCATATGCCTTTTCTAAATTCATAAATGCAATAAAAACTTCCCTACCTTTATCTAAATACTGTTCACATATATGCTTCAATGTAAATACAGTGGACTCCCGGTTAACGATATTTTTTCACTCCAGAAGTATGTTCAGGTGCCAGTACTGACTGAATTTGTTCCCATAAGGAATATTGTGAAGTAGATTAGTCCATTTCAGACCCCCAAACATACACGTACAAACGCACTTACATAAATACACTTACATAATTGGTCGCATTTGGAGGTAATCGTTATGCGGGGGTCCACTGTACTTGATCTACACATCCCCTACCCACTCTGAAACCTCCTTGCTCATCCACAATCCTACATTCTGTCTTACCTTTAATTCTTTCAATTATGACCCTACTGTACACTTTTCCTGGTATACTCAGTAAACTTATTCCTCTATAATTTTTACAATCTCTTTTGTCCCCCTTTCCTTTATATAAAGGGACTATACATGCTCTCCGCCTCTTTCATACATTTATTAAACAAAAGTACCAACCACTCCAACACTATATCTCCCCTGCTTTTAACATTTCTGTCATGATCCCATCAGTTCTAGCTGCTTTACCCCCTTTCATTCTACGTAATGCCTCACGTACATCCCCCACACTTACATTCTACTCTTCTCCACTCCTAAAAGATGGCATACCTCCCTGGCCAGTGCATGAAATTACCGCCTCCCTTTCTTCCTCAACATTTAAAAGTTCCTCAAAATATTCTTGCCATCTACCTAATACCTCCCTCTCCCCATCTACTAATTCCCCTACTCTCTTTTTAACTGACAAATCCATATGTTTATTTAACTCATTCCAAAATTTTTTCTTATTTTCATTAAAATTTCTTGACAGTGCCTCTCCCACTCTATCATCTACTTTCCTTTTGCACACTCTCACCACTCTCTTCACCTTTCTTTTACTCTCCATATACTCTGCTCTTCTTATAACACTTCTGCTTTGTAAAAACCTCTCATAAGCTAACTTTGTCTCTTTTATCACACCCTTTACTTCATCATTCCACCAATCACTCCTCTTTCCTCCTGCCCCCACCCTCCTATAACCACAAACTTCTGCCCCACATTCTAATACTGCATTTTTAAAACTCATCCAACCCTCTTCAACCCCCCTACTACTCATCTTTGCACTAGCCCACCTTTCTGCCAATAGTCACTTATATCTCACCCGAACTTCCTCTTCCCTTAGTTTATATACTTTCGCTTCCCTCCTACTTGTTGTTGCCACCTTCCTCTTGTCCCATCTATCTCTTACTCTAACTGTAGCTACAACTAAATAATGATCCGACATATCAGTTGCCCCTCTATAAACATGTACATCCTGGAGCCTACCCATCATCCTTTTATCCACCAATACATAATCGTACAAACCACTTTCATTACGTGCTACATCATACCTTGTATATTTATTTATACTCTTTTTCATAAAATATGTATTACTTATTACCAAATCTCTTTCTACACATAGCTCAATTAAAGGCTCCCCATTTACATTTACCCCTGGCACCCCAAATTTACCTACTACTCCCTCCACAACATTTTTACCCACTTTAGCATTGAAATCCCCAACCACAAGTACTCTCACACTTGGTTCAAAACTCCCCATGCATTCACTCCACATTTCCCAAAATCTCTCTCTCTCCTCTACACTTCTCTCTTTTCCAGGTGCATATACGCTTACTATAACGCACTTTTCACATCCAACCTTTATTTTATTCCACATAATCCTTGAATTAATACATTTATAGTCCCTCTTTTCCTGCCATATCTTATCTTTCAACATTATTGCTACTCCTTCTTTAGCTCTAACTCTATTTGAAACCCCTGACCTAATCCCATTTATTCCTCTCCACTGAAACTCTCCCACCCCCTTCAGCTTTGTTTCACTTAAAGCCAGGAGATCCAGCTTCTTCTCATTCATAACATCCACAATCATCTCTTTCTTATCATTTGCACAACATCCACGCACATTCAGACTTCCCACTTTGACAATTTTCTTCTTCTTATTCTTTTCAGTAATCTTTACAGGAAAAGGGGTTACTAGCCCATTGTTCCCGGCATTTTAGTTGACTTTTACAACACACATGGCTTATGGAGGAAAGATTCTTATTCCACTTCCCCATGGATATAAAAGAAAAAGTAATAAGACCAAGAACTATTAAGATAAAATCAAAGAAAACTCAGATGAGTGTGTATAAATAAATGTGTACATGTATGTGTAGTGTGACCTAAGTGTAAGTAGAAGTAGCAAGACATACCTGTAATCTTGCATATTTATGAGACAGACAAAAGACACCAGCAATCCTACCATCGTGTAAAACAATTACAGGCTTTCGTTTTACACTCACTTGGCAGAACGGTAGTACCTCCCTGGGTGGTTGCTGTCTACCAACCTACTACCTACCTAGTTATCCTAGGTAAATGTGTCATCATTCCTTCCTACCTACCTACCTTTCTTTCTTTCTTCATTCTTTCCTTCCTTCCTTCTGGTTTCTGTAATATATATACACATATATAGTTACTGGACACTTTCATATAACTGCTATTATCTTCAGCAAGCTTGTGTTGTGTGTGTGAGTGTGTGGACTTCTAAATGTGCTGCATCAGGGGTCTGGCAGCTGTCAA